ACTGTTACACATAAGAAGACAGACTCAACTGTTACACATAAGAAGACAGACTCAACTGTTACACATGAGCTGCTGGAAGGAAGATTCAAGTATTACTCATATTTAGATAAAGAATAAAATACAAGTTTAGTGACCGAAGACTCAACTGTTACGCATGAGCTGCTGGAAGGAAGATTCAAGTATTACTTATATGTCACTAAACTTGTATTTTATTCTTTATCTACTAATATCACATACCTTTCCTGAAGACTTTACTCCTTTCATTAGGCATAAAAATACGATCATCCAAGACACAAACAAACATGCAGCTAGATCCCACTTAATCACCCCGATGTCTTCTATTCCCCCTGTTATGTTTAAAACGAACCGCCTGTAGATGAATTAAATAAAAACTTTGAAACGTGTTTAATTACTTCAGAATGTAAACTCTCTTAAAAATCATTAAAGCTAAGTGTTATACGGAAACACGAGGTACTCTAGCGTTAATAATGGTATGTTCAAATTTGTCAACAGAGTGCTCTGTAGCTAAATATGTAGTTGAACTTATGACACAGGCCCGCGAATTTAAACTTCATAAAAGTTGTTTTGGTTTTAATAACGGATTTTCCATAATTCAGCTACACAGATTTCGAAAATATTATTCATTTTTTTTCTATTGCGTAAGAATTTTTACAAATCGGGAAGAAAAACTTACTTAGATCAAATTATTATTTCATTTACCACAATGAACATTTTTTATTATTATATTTGCCAACAAAAATACAAACAAGCTGAAGAAAAGGAAAGATCATTGATGTCCGACAAATATGCATCCTCATTCATCCTGATTTTTTATGCGAAATCTACGTCTTTTAGTCTCAAAACAGCGTGTTGTGGTCTTTCTTTTATGTATTGCATTATGACGTTTTGGGAAAAATTTGTACGTGATGGAGAAAAAATGGATATCATTTTCGGATTCACCGTACAGGAACATGTAAAAATTTCAAAACAATGTAACCATCGCAGGCCTGAGTAATTAGATGTATTTTTAAACTGTATAACAGTACATTAATCAATTCACTGAAACTTATCGAAATCCATTGAGATAAAAGTGAAGGAGATTTTTAATTATATGTAAGAAGTTAAGAACACGTTGAAATTACATGCAAAATACTGAAACTAATTTCAGAGGTAACAAGTTGCTAAGTTAATTTTTTTACAGTTGTTTTTGTCAGAAAATAATATTAATTTCAAGATTACAATAAAGAAAGCTGAAAGGAATATCAGTGTCGTAGGGTACAGTGATAATGAAAACAAGAGGAAACTTACTCCCAGAATTGTTCAGACGCTGTTTGAGTTGCGTTGGTACAGTTTTGTAAAGCGGAATAATATTCTCTTTGTGGTAAGAGGGCGCTGCTTTTCTTGTCAGACAATGTGACGTTAATGAGGCCATCAAGCGCGAATTTAGTTGAAGCATTAAACTTGCTCTTGTATTTTCTCGCTAATTTATCTATTGCGACTGGACAACGATCCTAGATGTTATGAGAAAAGTGAAAGATTAGGTTTACTAAATGATAATTTTAACAACAGAAGATTATTGAAGGGTTTAATTATTAAATTCCTAATAAATAATTCATTCCTTTAAAGTCTGAGGTAACAGCACTAAAAACTGGAGCACATTTATAATATTGAAAATCCATATACTACAATATTAGTATAGTAACAGCATGTATATCAATTGAAAATACATTTCAAGTACATTTAGCTTCTAATTTAACCAAACTTTTTGTATACACATTATTTAAGAGTTATAATAATAACAATATTACTAAAACAGAAAATATTTGAGATAGTTTTAAAATAATAAGACAATAAAAATATATTCACGTGAAAATACATTATAATGCAGTTTGTAATGTTTTTCTTTATAATAATGGATTTTAACATTTTCCTTAAAGGAACATGAAGTCCAGCTTAGTGAAATAGTTATCAATGTTCATGGTAGTTATTTCGACCCTCCTTCCTTCCCAGTGGCACAGTGTTAAACATGAAGGCTTATAATGCTAAAAACTAGGTTTCGACATCCGTGTTAGCTTTGCGCTTAACAACAAAAATTACGTCGGTAAAGGGTTCTTGATGTGTAGGAAAGTCTGTATTAAAATAAAATTATGTCACGCCCTTGTCAAGCTTGATTTGTGATGATTATTATAATTATAAACAGTTTAGAAATTTCATAAAATCATTGGCCTATATATATATGTGTGTGTGTGTGTGTAATCAGTATTGATAATTAAAAAATGTTACCTGTCCATTTCTGACGTAACAAGTATTGTTGTCTGCTCCCCACCATTCATAACAGCTGCTCCAAGGCACATCAGATCGAAAGGATTGCCCCATGTAATAAAGACAGTACCCCATTATTACGTTGTAGTAAATTGCGACCAATAACGAGATCGTAATCATGGCAGCTCCGATTCCTAAAACATGCACGAAATAATAAAAAATAGGTTTATTCTGTTTGGTTTGGAATTTCGTGCAAAGCTACACGAGGACTATCTGCGCTAGCGTTCCTTAATTTAGCAGTGATAGACTAGAGGGAAGACAGCTAGTCAACGCCACCCATCGCCAACTCTTGGGCTACTCTTTTACCAATGAATAGTGGGATAGACCGTCACATTATAATGGACTTACGACTCTAGAAACAGAGTACAGATAGCCCATTGTGTAGCTTTGTGCTTAATTTCAAACAACTAAAAATGTCATCAAAACATTACAAAAACGTAGAATTAGCACTTAAATATTAAGGCTTCGATTTTACTTTCATGTTCTTTGTATTTCCTTTTATTTATAAACCATTTTATTTCAGGCCCTTTTTTTTCTTTTTGTTTTGCCAGGCGGTTGTGGTGCTTGACTGCCAATCTGACGGTCGCGGATTCGAATCCCCGTCCCACCAAACATGCTCGCCCTTTCAGCCGTGTGGGCGTTAGTTATCTTTTTCTGTTCATATTTGCTTAGTAATGAAATTGATATAGTTAATATTTTGGTACTACACTAAAGAATTTAAAATTTATTTTACACATGAAAATATCAAAAACATTGAATCAAGCAATGCTTAAAAATTCTATGCTTTTAAGCTCTGTCATGTGAGGAAAGAAGTGTCTGAAAAATACAACACCATAAGAAGAGTGTCTATAGTTTGTTTTGGGTTCTTTCAAAGCTATATGAGAAATACCTGCCCTAACCGTCCCTAATTTTGAACTGATAGACTAGGGGGAAGGCATTTAGCCAACATCACCTACAGCCAACTCCTGGGCTACTCTAATCGAATACGACGCAACCACTGCGCAATTATTATTATTTTTTATATATTTTTTTTTTTGCAGTAGCGAAAGGACGTGAACCATGGACCTCCGGATTCACAATCCGGTACACTAATGGCTAGGCCAAATCCGGCCGATTTATTTATGGAAATAATTATTCAGGTGAACTTCATAAAAACGAATTAGTTTATAAATGACGAATCAAGAATTTTGACAGCAATTACTATTTAATTTTTGACCCCCAGTGGCTCACCGGTATGTCTGCTTCTGAGCCTGGTCTTAAGAAAAACATCTCAAAAGTGACATGGAACCGAGGCAAGAAAACTGTTTTAGTGTCACTTCCATGTAGTAAACAAATACAGAAAAAGAACTTAAAAGTCTCACCCCTGCCTAACGGAAAACATCTCCAAACTGACATAGGACCGAGGCTAGAAAACTGCCCTAGTGCCACTTCCATGAAGTACATGGGTTTGCCAACCACTATAAGAAGGAGGAAATACGGCAAAAGGAAAGCACCTGAAATGCAAGTTCGATATGCTATTAATTTCTGTAATCACTGGTTTAGTTATAATTTTGATATTACTAGCGACATATATTCAAGCGTGGTTATTTGCGCCATCTGTTGAGAATATATTCATATTATTTCATGTCTAATTAATTTGTTATGGAGAATCTTTCTTTAGTAGCAATCAATTTCAAATGTAAACTTAATAATTCTAAACCCAACTAATAATCAAACTTAATTAAAACCAACTAAAAAAGAAATAACTACTAAGCCTGAGATAAAAAGCTGATATTCTCCTCTTAATTAAACTAACCTCCTCCATTCTGGTAAGCCAAGTATGGAAAACGCCAGACGTTACCGATGCCTACTGAAAGTCCAATGCATGATAAAATGAATTCAGCTTTGCTACCCCACTGTCCTCTTTCCGTTTCAATGGATTTCTCCTTATTACCATGATCCACATTCACTGGAACAGCCGGCACGGACAACTGTAGTAAGAACAAATTATTAATTACACATACTTTACATTCATATAAGTTATATAACAACAAAAACAATGATTTTTTTAAACAAAATTATTTTTATCTTTTGATAATAACTTTATATACTATTAGTTACAAGTCATCATAAAATGAAAGAAAGTGAGTTACTCGCTAGCAGTTTAAAAATGATAATAACGAGGTAATTAAGAATCGATGAAACAACCGTTGTTCCATTACTGTAGGACCTTTACTGTAATGACATAGATACCAGTGTGGGACCTGTGATGTCATGACACACAGATAAGTGTGGACTTTTTAGTGTCATGTTACATATAAAAGTGTGGAACTTTACAAGAACAATAAATCTGCATGTACACATCTTTATTAAGATAACATATACCTTTTAATACACAAAAAAATTATTAGGGGTATATGTTTCACAATTTGCAGCATGTTTCATACCTTTTTCAAATAGACATGAACCCTTAAAGTGACAGTTTTGAGCTTAATTTTCAAACCTGTTTTTCCTCAAAATCTGAGAACTGACATTCTCATAGTGGTTTTTAACTCATAACTTCAGATCTGTTCATGCTATAGATTCCACAAATGGCAAGAATATGCATTATAATATAATAATTATTAGTGTATCTATAATGTGTACTAAAGTAAAGTCGATAAGAGGTTTGGTTTTTATTAAATGACCATTAAAGCTATACTGTAGCATACGCTCTACTTAGGGCATACCCATTAGTGCCATAAATTGAGATTTTGGATTAATTTTCAGAGATTTTCTTAGTTCAGACTATTTCTTCACATCCCATAAAACTGGATCCATTTTCAGGAGCATTCAGTCATGTTTTGTAGAAGTCATCAGGAACATAAGACATTTCTTTTGTATTTCTTTATTTTTATAATGTGCAAATTAGCCACAGTGGTAATATTAAACATTATGTGCTAGAATGTCTTTGTATTTATTTCAATATATTTTCACACAAAAAAACAACATTGTATGAAGATGATTTTCCTGATAAAAAGGCCAAAACCTAGATAACACTATGTAAAGGATATATTCTACCTTAAAGTAACATTTGATAATTTCTTTTTTTCAGTAAAAAATATTTAGCTGTCTTATATTAAGCTGGCTAGCTTTCCTTCTAACTCTATTATAACGATCTAGAAGACATTATATAACTAGAACTAGGCATCGTAGGATTTAACTTTTCTATAAAAATTTAAATTATGAACACTTTATGTTTTATGCTTCTTTTAGTCGATAAAACTACGTTGAGAAAGCCTAATGAAGGCATTAATGTCTATTGTTTTGTCGATTGTGCTGCTTCAAAAGCAGTTTCATTCTAAATATATTCTTTTATCTAACTTAAAACTTTTAGTACCCAATATGCTAATCTATGAGACCAAATTCGGGGAATTGAATAGTCTACAGAGGGATGCCACAGTTTCCTGCCTTCAAGTTAGAACAAAAAAGTACTGCGATTAAGGGCTTGATCTCTTAACCTAAAAAAACAAACACACTTTACTGCTAAAAGAACCCATCTCTCATTAACGTTCTGCCATGAAGATGCAAAGTTTATGGGTGTGGCTGGGCTGTGCTCTTAATTAATAGAATTATTCATGTTCAGGCACTTAACCATCTTACAGTGGCAATTAAGCTTCGTTGAGCCTTCCTCGAATATAACTCATGAAAACCGCGGAGAAAACGGCTTTATAGAGTTGAGGAACTAGATATTGTATTACGAAACATGTGTGGCCACTATCGTGCTTTGTATGTTAGACGTTCATTGGGAGGTTTAACTTCCTCACAGTCTATAAACTAGTGCGAATTCGGGCATGCTGGTGGGCAATACACATTTCAGGTATTGCAAGAAGTTCAAATTTCTATTCAGAGTTAAAGAGAAGAGAACTAGAAAGCTTTGTTTCTGAATCAATTCACTAAACATGTCTACCTGACTCACAAATATCTCATATCTTCGTAAGCTGTATTCAGAATTCCAAGATTTAATTACTTGTTTAACATCTCATCAACACTCATACGATACTCATATGAGGTTTAACAAATATCAACCACAGCACTGTCTTAAGTTGCATTTAAAATAACATCATTTATTTTAAAATCAGCAATACAGAGAACAACACTAACTTTATAATCATGGATGTCATAATGCATACTATATTGCAAGAATAATGAAGTTTATAATAGTAATAACGCAAAACAGGTCTGTTTTAGAAAGTTCCATGCAAACGCTTTTTGTTCTTCTGAAGTTTTGGTTTAGAAAGGTTTGATTCAAGACGTGGAGAGTTATGACCCGTTACCAGCATGACGTCATACTTTTTATGCAATGAAAGTAAATCTTTTTCGTTTTTTGTTAAACTTTTTTTT